CCAATAGAAATTGAGATGTCAAAACATTTGGATGACGAAGGTACATCTTCTCAAACATATGATTTCATAGAAGGCACAATTGAGGAGAAGATTGAAACCGCCCTTGACCTTCGAGAGATGGGCACTTATCGCCCAAGGGATTTGTTCCCTTTATGGGTAGAGCAAACACCATTTCCTGAAGGATACGAACTTCCAAATTTTGTCCTATATGAGGGGTATGGAGATCCTCAAAAACATATTAGGTGTTTTTTGAAACAATGTGGGGAAACAACTCAAAATGAAGCACTTTGCCTAAAACAATTCCCTCTTTCCTTAGAGGGGATCGCCTTTGACTGGTATTGCTCCCTCGATGGAGTCGTGGTGCCTAGTTGGGAGGCCATGAAGAATGGTTTTGAAGAATCTCAATGCTTTTATAGGCGTGACTCCCGGTACCTAAGAAATGGGAGAAGAATGCAGCTCCAAGAAGATGGAGAAGTGACTGATGATGATGATCACCCTGCAGCTGGACCAGTTAACATGGTCCAAATAAGTGAGGGAATAAAAGAAGTTAAGGTCAATGAAAAGGCGGTTGCTGAAGTATGCCAGACTTATTTGACCTACCGGAGGAAATTACGAAATCCTCAGGACCCTCAAACGTCGGAAGTTCCACAAGTTTTGCTGGAGGAAGAGCAAGTGAAATATGATGTACTACCTCATCTAAAGAAAATTCCAGCATTGTTGAGCGTATATGATGCACTAAAAATGTCTCCAGAGCTTCGAAAGTCTTTAATATATGCCCTGTCCAAGCCAGAGGATTTCCACAAAGAAATTGAGGGTAGAAATCAAGAGAAAGCAACTACATGCATGGCTATGGTAACCTTTGGTGACAAAGACATGTGTGCTGAAATGACAGACCATAATCGGCCTTTATTTATCACTTGGCTTATCCATGATGTGAAAATTTCTCGAATTCTCGTTGATGGAGGATCTACAGTGAACCTTCTGCCTCGGAGGGCCTTAAATTTATTAGGGGTTCGAATTTCACAACTTCGCCCAAGTCGTTTGGTCATTCAAGGATTTAATCAGAATGAGCAATGCCCAATGGGGAAAATTGAATTACAAACCAAGTTTGGGGATATTGAAGAAAGCACTGAGTTCTTGGTCATTGATGTAGACACCTCTTACAATGCTTTGCTTGGGAGACCATGGATGCATAATCATCATGCAGTGCCATCAACTTATCACCAATGTATTAAGTACCCGTTGCCTTCACCCAAAAAAGAGGGGACAATTGTGGCTGACAATGATCCATTTGGAGAAGTAGAGGCCTACTATGCTGATGCTCGCTTCTATACAAAGACTTCACAAAGAAAAGGAAAAGATGTGAAGAAGTTTGAAGATACTTCGAATGTCAAAGACACTCTAGAGTCTATTCCAGTTTCAACAAAAAGAACTTTTCGATATGTGCCAAAGTCTGAAAGGAAACTGGGGGCAAAGGCTCTAGCCCCAATAAATCCAATTTTGGATCTCAAGGGTGAGTTCACGTTGCCATTAAGGAAGACAGAATGCACCTATGTGGAGAAATATAATAAGATTGTGGTCCCTTCTAAAGGAAAAGGGTCGAAACCCATCATATTCCACTCACTTGGAGATGTTGAACAGAAAGTGAAAGTTGAACAAGTGCCAGAAGAAAACATCTCGAGTTTTGAGAAGCCTACCTTCAGTGCTGAAATCACACAGATGTTGGTAAAAGTTGGTTTAGATCCTAAAAAAATACCAGGAACAATGACACACTTTGACTTTGCATTAACACCTTCACAGAGGCAAGCTATCCAGCAAGGCGGTATTATCACCGCCAGGACAGAAGGGTTAGGCTATCAAGGGAATGAGAAAAAATTTCCAGTAAACATGACTATCACATATATACATCAATTAGCTCAAGATGTGTTGGAAGATGTTGACCAAGATGAAGCTCAACCTGCACCAACAGAATTTGAAGCAGGAGGCCAAGCCACCGTAGATGACCTTCGTGAAATAAATCTGGGTGATGAAGGAGAAAACGAACCAACCTTCATTAGTGCAAATTTAAAGGAAGAAGAAGCTCGGCAATATATTTTCTTTTTAAGGGAGTATCGTGACATATTTGCATGGAACTACAGTGAGATGCCTGGTCTTAATCCAGAGATTGCAGTCCATAAGCTTGCAATTCACCCTGAGAAACGGCCAGTTAAACAGCCACAGAGGCGAACTCGACCAGAGCTTACAACCCAAATTGAAGCTGAAGTCGACAAGCTTATCAATGCAGG